TGCTTTGCTTACTGAGCTGGTGTATATCATCCCTTACAATTCTCATTAAATCTTTTGCAAATTTTCTCTATCTTATTTAACTAATGCAGTTACAGGGCTTTGTTGATAATTAGTTTTATCTTTATTATGTTCGCGACTACATTTTTTAACGCATTGTTTCAGAAATTTCCTTTCAGCACTGCAGGATTATTTCTCGTTCTGATACCAGATTCTAATTAAAACAAATAACGTTTTTTTCTGTATGAAGCTTTTCCCCTTTTTATGTGAAACCTTTGTTTGCCCAAGGGTCCAAAGAAAAATGTGTTCTTCGTTCTTGAATGAAGATAAATGGCTGGAAATGTTACTCCTCGTTCTTCTGATTGGTAGAAAGAAGAAAGATTAGAAAAACTTTTATATTTATTTATTTTTTAGAAACAAAATGTGGACGTGGAAGGATGTGCTCTGGTTATAATGGAAATTAACGTGTGAACAATATATATACATGTATATGTATTTCCATAAATAAGTAAAGTGCTAAGGAAAAAAATAGCTGAATATTGAAATGTAATTTATTTATTGATTTACTGATTTTTGATTGAACATCTTTTTCTGACATCTTCGAATATAAAGCTCTAACTATTCAAGTACCTGTTGTTTTCCTTTATGAATAAGATCTGTTATGAGATATATTGTATATTTGACACATAAAAAGTTATACTTTTTCTCAGTAAGAGTGGATATATGTTTAATTTTTAATTTTTTTCATGAGTTATATCATTTTACATTAACAATATAATGCCCGTGATATCTAATTTTGATTTGAGGCTGAGGCTTGAAATTGAAGATTTTACTGCAATAAATATAGCAATTACTAAGAAATTTTAAACAATTACTAGTTAAATTAAAAGGATTTCTATCTGCAGTACTACAAAGCATAATACGACAAAACATACTCGCATTATTATTTCAATAAAAGTATCTTTGTGTTCGGAAAAAATGTCACCTGAAAACCTGACTTTTAATTTTTCAGTTTGAATATTTCTAGTAAAATCGTTCAAGAATTTAGACTGATGTGCACTGAAAGTACGTATCAAAACACTTAAGATTTATGCACGCTGGTTGATAGCAATACTGCAGCTTTCTTGCATATATCGTATCCTTGCTGAGTAAGTACATACACAAGCTTCGTAGTAAGCTGAGTTCAATGCTGTAGCTGCATGTAAGTGTATACAAAAACAGCCAGGTTGACGAGCATAACATAAAAACTGATATATAAATGCCAATAATTTATCCATCGAATTTGTTTCATTTATCTTCGACAAATAAATAAGTATTAGATAATTAGCAAATTTGTAGGCGTATTATATGCTTAATGAAAAAAAAAGTTTAGTAAAAGGGACTTCTGCAAGCGAATTTAAAGCTGTGAGTTAAACTACAAAAGCTCATAGAATAATGCGATAAGCGAGCCAAGAAATAAAAGGCCTATTAAATGAACTGAATCAGGGGCGCTAGAGACTCAATTAAATTATTAGTAAGAATTTAAAATAGAGCTCAGAGTCTCTTAGACCTCGATTCTGCCAGGATAAGATTTTCTACTCCAAATAAAACACCAACCTTTTTTGCGGTGTCAAAAATTGAATGGTAATCATTTTTTTCTGAAATTCAATTCCAGATCTTAGATATTTTTTCTCTTGTGATACGAATGTTATAGGTTACTATAACATCTGAAGTACCGTTTTTACTAACTGCCTACCAGATCCAACAGTGCGGATATATTCAAGCTTTGATAGTTCTATTCAAGTTTTATTTACGGGAACCGTAGTAACTGCATGATTGTTTTCGTAGTTTTTCTCATGCGTGACGTGATGATGAAATACCAGCTTCCTTTGGAAAGTCTTTCTTGAAGATAACCCCCTCCCTTAGGCAAGACATCTTCCGCTGCTTTAAAGTAATCAATTCATCTGTAAGGCTTTACATTATTTTCCTAATACTTATTTTTATTTTGGAATAAGCCTTTCCTATGCATTCTTATTTCCCACCTACGTTTCCCTGTCAGAATGAGTTTCAATGATTACGATTTATGCGATAATGTAGAAACGAATATTTGAGAATTTCTTTGGGTTACTTCAGTAGAAGAGCGTGTTTTGACTTTCGACCACGCTGTTAGTCTAAGCTTGCTGTTCTACCAGCTGTTATTGTACTTTATACGTGCCTGCTAGTATACGCCGGTGATCTTTAAATCAGGGCCAACCACGCGATTGATTCTGTGCAACTTTGGCTGATTACTTTTCTTTATTATTAATTTAATTTTAAATTTTCTATTTTGAGTTAAAGTAGAGGCTTCTTTTACGCCTAAAACGGGCCATCTGTTATTTCATTTTGAGTTCGAATAAAGGGTAATTTAATCTTTCTCCGGAGTTGTAACATACACTACAACTACCCAGCGAATAATCGCTACACAGTTCTTCAGAAGTCTAACTTCCAAAGAACTCTATTTTATCTGGGATATTACATACCTAATCTAGTTAAATACTTTTCTATGTACGTTTAATAAATTTTCACTCCGGAACCAGTTTTTCTATTGTAAAAGAAAGCACAATAAGTATTGTACTGGCGTTCCATAATATTGCATCATTAATCGTACTTCATTTGCGTAAATTTAATTTAGTTCTAAATTTCTAGCTACACAATCAATAGAGACACATAAACCAAGTGTTAGATATTTAGTAAATATTTGTTAGCAGAATTTCTCTGATTTTTTTTTTGCGCAAGTTTTTACATATGACAAACATGTGAGCAATTTGTGCACATTATAAATACACATTTGTTGGAACTTTTCATAGCATAGAGGGCGCTGTGGCGCCGAAAGAATTCTTCTGTGTGTTTACATTATGTAACTATGGTTCGCCGTTGCGATGTGTGTGTATTACTGTGATATATTTTGGTGTTTTCATTAAATATAAACGAAAGATATCGTCATGTATTTTTGTATACCAAATCAAGATCAAATTTAGACTGATGCAAACTCTTCGCAACAAAAATAGCGTTCGAACAAGAATCGTCAAGTGTTATTACTCGCCTTTCGAACTTCGCATTCGTATCGTTAATCGCTTCGTAATACTAATTCTAGAATAAAGCCCTATATATGTCAACCAAAATGGTACTTTAGCGAAGTAAAGCATTTGATCGTTCGTTTGTGTATAATTTAATTATTTTCCATTCTAATATATACATAAATATGTATTTTAATTACATTTCTTTATTTACAACATTCGGAAAATGAAACGGGAGGCTGATATTATGAAAATATAAGTCAGATGCGTTATTCTAGAAAAAGTTTAATGCTTTTTACCTTTAGGATTTGGTGTAAATTGCTTAAATAAACTGTAATACAGTCATTAATACGTCATTAAAATTAATGCTTTGGAATAAAGCATTAAAGAGAAATTTTTGAGAGAAATTAAATAGAATAAATTGCTGTTTACAGAATAATATCTTTCAATAATCTTTGTCACTATTATTGAGAAATTATGATTCACTCGAATTTAATTTATCATTCAAAATACACAAGATGAAACTTTGCTTCTCTAAACGCTACCTTTTTATCATAATGGATTCAAAAACTATATCATCAAATGATATATGAGGAAGTGTATGTGCATTGTGATCAAATGCATATAAACAAAGCAATTAGTTCTGGCTATATATATAAATACACTAAGGAACTTCGTCTGTATAATGATTTACTTTGTTAAACGATATTATTTTACAGACTTTCTTTGGTTATTTAATTTAAAATAATGTTTGAAATTTTCAGGCCACATAAGAAGGAAGATATGCCACTTTTGCATAATTAGATTCCAGTAAAATATTTTATAATTAACGACTTTTTTCCATCAAACTAAGTTTCCTGACAGCATTTTGCCAACATTTTTAGTAACTAAAATTACCATGATGATAAAAATTTGAGATTATAGAAATGAAAATGCTCTTCAACGGTCTTTCAAAAGCCTCGAGATTAAAGAACTATCTAATTTAAGCACCAGGCTACGTAGCATGAAGGGAATTCAGAAATAAAAAGATATTTACAAATAGTCTGTATCTTTAAAGTGATTTCATCTCAGGATTCTTAAATAAACCTTTGATTCTGCTAATAGTTAATAAGGATATGACGTGACGTTTTTAAGTGTTGCCAACACAACCACCTAGAGACAATGCTGTGAATTTTTTGTTGTTGGTTTCGATGAACAATGATCCTTTATGTTTAAACAGTGTCTGTTGCTCTGAGAAATGGTGAAATTTCTCATAATCGCAGAACCACCTCTGGTACCACCTCTTAATCGCAGAATCATAATGCAGAATTACTGAATGTGTTCCTGTATTATAATTAAAGTAATAGACGCTGCACGCTACCAATTTATTACATAAAATAAAATTTTATTACATAAAATAAAGGAGAGTCCATTAACGTTGTTTACATATTTTGTAAATACTAAGTACATTCACGTTTGTTAACAGGGTAGACATCTATGCATTTCTTTGATAAGTAAGTATATAGCTACTGTTTATTACTTCGATAATGCAATTAGTTATTTAGATATTGTTTACTATATTTGGCTTTACTTCTTTGGTGAAAAAATGAGGGATGTGTGTCAGAGTTTTTAATTAATAACTTGGTTGATTAAAGTCGTACGAACATGAGAATGGTTGAAATGGCTTACAACAAAATTTTGGGATCTGGGAGTACATCTCTCGAAACTCCTCTCCCCGCCATTCCGGAGGATATGATGCTACAAAAAAACAAACGAACAAATAGACAGACGCCCGCAGATTTTAATAGCGCAGATTTCAAGTAAAATGATAATGTGGAATTGTCCAGTACTCTGTCAATGTCTTAGTTAATAATTTCATAGTCTGCACTTAAACTGTAAAATTAATATAATTTACATTGCAATAATGGTTAAATAACTTATATTGCAATAATTAGCATAGTCTTAATAGACACTTCTTTTATACCACAGGGATAGCACTACGAGGAACTCCATGCAGTTGCAGTGTGAATCACTTCGCCTGCACTACCCCACAGTACGGCAACTGTACATGCATTCCTGTCAGATGGCGCTGCGACTCAGATGATGACTGTGGAGATGGCAGTGACGAGATTGACTGTGGTGAGTACGCTGTCCTTTAACACATAATTAAGTAAACCATGATGATATCAGCCCTGTTTCCCAGAAAATGCCATATGTGTTTTCGTATTAAAATGTGCTCATATTCTCGACAATTTTATCTATTTTCTGTCATTCAAATTCCTGCCTTTATTTTCTGGGAGAAGGTAATACTTTACGGTGTCTGTTTCACAGATATTTAGTTCAGATTATCGATACTGTAAGCATGCCTCAGTGATGTAAGTATAGCATACTCGGCGCGCATTCAAGAGGGTCTAGGTTAGAGACTTGAAGAGGACACTGCTCATGCTTCACTTCTCCTGCTTCAAAAATACCTAATGACTATGCAATGGTGCTCGAAGTGAAATGTAGAATGGAATAATTTGCCTCCATCAGGATTTTGGCGGTTGGGTCCCACCATCCCCAAATGCCCTTTAAAGGGGGAGAGTATTTAACGTATTTTCTTCCGTCTTCCAGCATGCCTTCTTAGTGTAACGGTAGAATACTCGGCACCTATTCGAGAGGTCCAGGTTCGAGTACCGGAGAAGTCATTGCATATTTTTCACATCTCCTGCTTTAAAAAATTCTAATGACTCTACAGTACTACAGTACTGATTCGAAGGTCTCATACCCCTCTTTCCATACCACCAAGCCACTCAAGAAGGCTTTCCTCTCGCTAGTATTTTAAGTGCTCTCGTGCGGCACAGACATGAGTGCTTTCTCTGAGATATTAACAAGTACCCAGTACTAACCCGGATAGGGAAATTAGTATCGCTAATCAATATTACAGTCAAAGAATCATATTTTATGGCCTTAGAATTATTTTAAAAACGGCTAATCACAGTTCCGGTCTGTTTTTGTTTCCAGTGAAGAGTGTCCAGAGCACGAACTATCGGCAATTTTCAGTCATTAATTTTAGCCATAAATCACAATCATGTTCAGTTGTCTCTTAACCTCTGGTATTTGGAGTATATTTGCAATTCTTGCAAACCATTTTCCTGTGGTGTGTCATTTGTAAGCATTGCATTACAGAAACTTTAGTGGAGCTTTATGGCCGATATGATAGCGCTCTAGCGGATCTACCGCTCCATTATTTCCGAAAAAAGATTTAGTAGGTCACATTTCAGAACGTGATTATCCATTCTGTTAATATATAATCTGTGACATTCAATACTGCTATTTATGCGTTCAGAAGTATTGTTTACCTTCAGAGATAATCGCTTTAGGAAGATCGTATCCGTGTGAGATTTCACTTTATTCAAATGATTGAGGATTAATTATGCGAGGTAAGTTATTCCATCACATAATTTTAATCCGCTTTGCTGTTAGTTAATAGAAGATCGTTGTGATATCACAAAGAGAACCAGATTTCCAGTTGTCAATTCATTGCATATTCAGTGTCCTCTTCAGGATAGATCATGAGGAATGTTTCATGTTACATGAGTATTGCCAGGAATTGTAAATATAACAAACATGAATGTGTTTCACATTTTCATAGAGTCACCTTATACGATCATGAAGACTTTTTTAAGATAAAATATTTCAATAATCATAATCGTGCTTTTTAAAATATATATATATATATATGAAGAAATATCGATGTTAAAAAGATCCTAGTTTGGAAGGGAACTATTTGGAGAATGGACGGTGGAATTAAATTGTCTTAAAATTTTTAAATCGTTCGACTTTTAAAAATAAAGAAAAAATATTTAATAAAGGTAGTTAAATTACTAAATAATCAATAATATCAAATTATTGAATAAAATACTGTATTTAGACACATGTCTGAAAAACTACACAAAAAAATCTGATGTGTACACCACATGACTTCCTTGTACGGATTAAATTATACGCATTTTTTCTTGCATTTCATTTAAACTTATTGGATTGAATTAAATCTACTTCGCCGACAGCGCATAAACAACAATAGAATAAATATATTCTTTAAAATTCACTCTAGTATTTGTTAACCATACCGACACTCTGGAGCTAGATTCACTTAACAGTATTATATTTCGTTCATATTATAACTCATAATGCTCAAAATTTATATCATTTAAATAATGGAATTATCTAATCGTTGCCACATGTTCTATTCAAATATTATAATAAAGCTAGAACGATGTATAAAAGAAATTAAGCAAACAAAACAAAAAAGAAACAGTTTTTCACAGACGATTAAGTATTTCTCATTCAATTAATTCAGTTCTCACTTCGCGAGAAGGCAAAAATACATAAAAACTCAAAATATCTATATTAAAAATTACGAAGTAAATCTTAAACACTTATTTCCTCGAAAAAATTCCAGAAAGGAATTAAGCATGATTTAATTTGGCAATAATAAACAAAGGCGTTATCTTTGTTGTTGCGAAGCTTACGTTCTCTCTAGATTGGCAACAAATCTGCTATTTCTGCCTGTTTCAAAATGTGAACAATCAAACCTGGCCGCCATCGCAAAAAAATTAGGCTTAGCGGCACTTTAAACAACTTTTAAAATTGTAGATAATTCAAAAATATTGCATACAGATTTACTAAAGGCATAAAAACCTTAACCGGAAGATAAAAACAACATAATTCAAGTCATTTTTAAAGCCACAAATGTATAATTTACAAACATATACGAGTAAAGAAACTGAGATCACTGAGCCGGGTAACAGAGTGGATATATATATAAATATATTTATATACGTTTGGCGCGGCCGATTGCAACCAAAATACAAGGTGCACATCTACATGTTATAGCAGTCCTATATACAAAATTTCAACTTTCTGAGACTACTCGTTTTTGAGTTATGCGCACGTACGTACATACGTTCGTACAGACGCCACGAAAAATTCTCTTCAGTATTAATTTTAAAGCAGTTTTATAATTTTTTTGGAGGAAACGAGCCTTTTATTCTGTCCTTACGTAAAGATATCCCGCAAAAACATCGTTAAATTGCATTCGATAGCGGTCGAATGGATATTTTCGTTGAAATATGCTGCCTGAAACTTTTCGCGATTACAATACTTCCTTTTCACTTCGTACAAGGAAGTAAAAACTGACTTGGATATCACATTACTTTACTTGTACGTTTCTTTCTTTGCAAATTTTTGTACTGAACTTCATTTAAACTTATTTCCCCGAAATATTCTAAGTTAATAAAACGATCCCTCAAGGCATGTTGAAAATGACATAAAAAAACTACAAATTTGGAAATTAAATATCCCGCTCAATTTCTGTTTTACGGGAATTAAATTTTTTTGTAATTTTAGGTTTTCCCACCAAGTGTAAAACTTTCCGAAATATAAGTATAGAAACTAGGAAACCTCATTAAAAGTAAGACTTCGCATTTGTCAAAAATTAATTTTTATTTCAATTTGACATTGCCAGAACCTGAACATTTTCATCATTTAAAACGCTTCTATAAACGGAAGTATATAAGTACGACAAACGATTGCGAAAATAAAGGCCGGGTAAGGATTTTTCATTCCGGTAAGAGGGTGCGTATATATAACATACCCACTCTCTTATCATATATATATAATATACACCTTATATACGTTTGTTACTGCCGATTGCAGTAAAAAAAGGGAGGTGCACAACTAGATGTTTCAGAAGTCCCAGGTAGGATGATATGGAAGTAGAGAGGTCCCAGCTGGGTGTTACAGAAGTTTATCGTTCTGCCGTTAATCTTTTTTCAGTTATGTGAGATACATTCATACGTACTTAGATATTTTGCATAATCAATTTTTTTTTAATTTTAGCATTATTCAATGAACTCTTCCGACAGTTATGCCCAGTAAAGCATCTGCCTACCTTCACCGAATATTAAAACATGTCTACCATCACAGACAATAAGATGTTTGAAATCCTGGGGATCGTGGCTTTGGGAAATTTTACCATCTCATGTGAACATTTGAAACCAAAAACTAACTCAAATAAAGCGACATTTTTTTCAGTTGCTGACTTGTCTCATATTGCTTTTGGAAAAGCATTGTCATTCTATCATGGTATTAATAAAACTGATATTCCGTGAGATTAGAAATTAAATTTACAAATCTGTAGTATACATAATGTTTCTTCGTGCACTGTCGTTACTTCTTGCACTGTTGAATTTGTTGTTACTCTCATTGTGGGGCTTTTCGTTTTAAATTTTATAAAACGAAAAGCACAGCAATGACAGTAAAGACAAATTTTAGACCATTCTGAAACTGAAATACTTCCTTTTCTATTATCAAATTAAGGCATGATAAATAAATACAGAATTACATCTGCTGATTTAGGATCAGAGACTTTGAATGGACCTAATTTGATATTATTTTGCACTATTAGTGTTCACTCCTTAAAAGAAAAAGAAATTATTTAATTTTCTATACCACAGAATTCATAAAGAGGCATACATGTCAGAAATGCAATAAATATATAATATACTAAATCAATTGCTTTAATATTTCTTAAACTTGTGAAAATAAGCAACTTCTCGTTAAAGGACAAATGTTTCGAAACAATATTCTGTGTTACAAGAAGATAGTGGATTAAATTTATCTAAACTCAATACGATTTACAAGTGCATTAAAATTCGGAATTTCGCGGAAATCTGAAGAATGAGGAAAAGAATTATAAGATAAAATTCTCAGATATAGTTGTTTGTCTCTGATTCTTAAGCCAAGGCGCATGTGCTGCCTGACTTATTTATCCGAATAAATACGCGATTGCCATCCAGGTTGCTGCAAGGGTGCACTTACATTAAGGCATAAATGCCATTAAGACGCATAAGCGCAAGTGCGTTGCTAGGCGATGACATGGCCTTAAGCTCAGATACCTAGATCAAAGACAGTTGCACAAATATCCTAATGGTTTAGTTTTATGCCAAGAATGAGGTGCTGATAAAGTAAATGACCTGCCAAAAATAACTAAAAGGGGTTTCATTATAGATTAAAAAACCTTTGTTAACTTTTTCAAACTTATTGTAATATTTTAATGAAGTTATTTATAATGATCATTTTTTGCTATTTCGTTA